TTTTTGTTATTAGGGATCAATGTTTAGAATATTTTAGAAGCTAATCCTCTCTTCTCATTTATACCTGAATTTGTCCTACTAAATAAATCTACTAGTGGTCAAATTTTGTTTACCTTGCGTTATTGATCAGTTATGCGTTCTGTTGTCTCGTTTGAACTTGATGATGACTGTGTTTTACCAACTGTATTTAATGATGATGGGTTATTTTTCCCTCAATCAATTCAATTGACTCATATTCGAATAACATTATATCATTTCGACAATTGCGTTCGTTTACTAAATCAATTGAGCGCACAAATATGTTCATTTAGTGTGACCATTCTATGTGTTTATATACGCAAAGTTGATATTATCTCTGAAATAAGATCGGTAAGTAATATTTCTTAATTTCAAATTTAATTTAATTTACTTATTTAGATTTCGTGTCCGAATTTGAAAGAGTTAACAATGATAATCTATCGGAATATTATTGATTATGAAGAATGTATTGTTTCTCTTCTACAACGTCTCTCAAATGTCGAATATTTAACATTATTATTATCTATTGGCTTCAGAGGAAATAGACCGGATCATTTTATTGATGGATTTGATTTCGAGAAAGATATTGTTTAATATATGCCTCATTTACGTCAATTTAATTTTCACATTCGTTCAGTATTAAAAAATCCTCCTCATATTAATAGTGAAACAATTCGTCAAACTTTTATGAAACAACAACAATCTGTCGATTGGTCGATCGAATATTTTAATAATAATTATGGTCAATGTCAAATTTACTCTCTTCCATTTATTGGTACTCGTCTTGACTTCATATCAAATAGATTTCCATTGTTTTATACTAATAACACATTCTCAATGGTTACTACTTTACTACTTTTCGATCATGTTAAACCATTCGAATGTGTTTTCTTTGAACATCTCGCTCGAGCTCTACCTCGTCTTAGAACACTCGAAATATTGAATAACCTTGAACAACAAGAAAAAACAATGCCGACGACAAATAAAGTTCGGTATACTCATTTAGCTACATTGATTCTATTCAAGATTCATATCGATTATGTTGAACAACTTCTTTGTCAAACTGATCTTCCTTGTTTAAATGAACTCGCCATTGATAATGATATATTGTTAACCATAATTACTCGAGCTCAACAACAAACAAGGCACAATTGTTCTAGAGTGGAAAGATTACGAACTTCTCAACCATTCTATGGGTCAAGTGATGCTCTTCGAAACTTCTTTCCATCGGGTTCCTATGTAAAACATCGAAGAGAAGGATAAAAATAAAATAAATAATTTCTGTAAAAGTATCAACTACTTCTCTTAATAAACTTTTCTTTCTTAAAAGTCAATGGAATAGAAGCATTGTAACGAGCTACATTGATTTAAATATAACAGCAAGAAAAATTTGTATTTTTATCGAATAAATAGGAATAGAAAGGACTTATTTTATCGTTTATTTTCTTGTTTATATAAGAATATTTTTAATAACGACCAAGGGAGGAAGTGTAGGTTTGTAAACCCTACCACCCATAGAATCTATTCGGCACTTCTTACCATGAGCATGTTCAACGCTTTTTCCGCAATTTACGATAAAATTTGGTGGTTAGGTGCTCCAATTACATTGACAGTACCTAAGCATCAAATTTTATCACAAAGTGCGGTAAAAGCACTGAAGGTGCTGAAGATGCTCATGGTAAGAAGTGCAGAATAGAAGCTGTAAGTGCTGAATGTGCTAGGGGTTCCAAACCTGCACTTTTACCTTGGTAGCGACGCAAGATAATAACTAATTGTTTGTCATTAGTAAGTGAAGTTTGAGGAAGAAAGAATCTATGATATTCTGTAGATATAATCATAAAATGTCCATTTATCTTTCAATCCACTGAAGAATATTTTATCTTGTGGATTTCAGTGATTTATATTTTATTGGAATTAATCAAATATTCGGATACTTTGCTTTTGTTAAGTGTTAGATATGAGAATATTAGCTATAGTTTATTTCAATGGTAATCAACAAATAATTTCGCAGATCTTCGAATATATGCATTGTCAAACCTATGGATGAGGGCATGATTCTGATAATATAAACATTGTTCGACATATAGCATATCGGTTTATGTATGAGATATAAAAATTTCGGTGAATCTTTCATGTAAACTATATTTTCATAAGATTGGATCAGTGTAGTATTCGGTGATTATCGATAGAAAAAGATGATTAATATTTCCAAAGATTTTTTTTTTTGTAGATTTTGATAGAGAAAAAAGTTTAGATAAAATAAGTTGATTTCTAACTATTCTAAAACAAGTATTGATTGTGTGTTAGGTGAATGGATTGTCTCTAACAATTTCATTTAGATATCATAGCTGAATTTTGTTACTTTATTAATTATAATAAAAGATTTTTTATATTCTCAACGATAGAAAATTGAGAAAAAAAATATTTTTTGAGAATTTCAACATCTAAAAAGCTAACATTCTGAGAAGCAATGATTTTCATGGATTCTTTATAAATAATAGTTCTCATTCAATATATATACCGGGCGGACCAAAAGTTGTGCGACATTTTTTATGTCACATATATCTCGACTTGAATAAATGATAAAATCTTAATTTTTTTTGAAAAGATGCGTCGTGAAAAGATCTGCAAAAACTGTATAAAGAAATCCCTATTAACTGATTTTGATGGTTTTTCCACAGTTAATATAAACTACCTACATGATAATGCTATGTTCCAGCGTATGTAGCATGAAAAACAATGTTTGAAAGAGTTTTTTTTATTTTTGTAATAGAGAGTTGTTCATACAGCTTGTGTAGAGCTTTTCACGGCGCATCTCTCAATAAAAATCAAGATGTTACCATTTTCTCAAGCCGAAATATATGCAAAACAAAAAAGGCCTTTCAACATTATTATGCTGGAAAGTAGCATTATCATCTTGATTGTTCATTTTGAGTATGAGAAAACCTATCAGAACAAGTCAGTAGGGATTTCTTTATAGAGTTTTTGTAGAGCTTTTCACGACACATCTTTTAAAAAAAAACGAAGATTTTGTCATTTACTCAAGCCGAGATATATGCAAAATAAAAAATGTCGGAAAACTTTTGGTTCACCCGATAATCATGGGTATGATACTTGAAGGATTTTTCAATCACATTGTGACAGTAGCGACGAATATCTCTAATATGTTTCATGCTGCTATATAATATTCATATTGATCTAACTTTTGAACATTGCTTCTCCTAATCGGATGAACTCTTATAAGATATTGATTTCAATTTATTGATCCTGTAGAATAAAATTTACTATTTATTTTAATTACCAAAATATTTTACAATTATAGTTTTATAACAATAAAAATCTTCATTTCTCTATACACTTAATAGACATACACACCAATTCATCTATTGAAAAATAAATCTTGACATTGAAGAAATTATTTAGCAAAATTTGTCTTAGATTTGAATAATAAATAAATAAATAAATTTTATTCTTTCTGTTCTTCAATCCGACATAATTGTTAAATCAGGGGCGTAGCCAGGAATTTTCTAAGGAGGGAGACCAGGTCCAAGGTGGGGACCAACCATTGGAAAAAAAATTTTCGCGAAGTGAAATTTATTTCCCTGTACCCCCTCCAGGAGATTTTTTCTCGAAGGGGGGGGGGGGCGATCCCTTCCCCCTTGGCTACGCCACTGTATAAATGATTAGATCTAAGATAAATTTCTTTACATTCAAGTAGATCTTTTTCATAAATATTTTTACAACATGAATAAGATATAGATTGATGTAGACAATTAATTATATGAAATTTAGCTAATTATTTTTCTTGTTATTCAAATGAATTATCAGTTTTTAATCATTTTCTTTGTAAATATTATCGACATAATTTTGTTTTTTTGTTATCATGATCTAGTTAAAACGACGAAATGTCTCATGGAATTGACAACGACGTGTACAAGATATAGAAGGAGATTTTTTTATATTATTTCATTGTTGAAAATGCTAAATCAATAAATAAAATAATTAGTTCAAGAAAACAAAACAAATTGGTGTTATATCAATTCGTCGCACATCAATTTGTCCGAGTCTATTCGTTGCATCTCTCTTAATAAATTTCCCGTATCAGAGCTTTATCTTTCGGAAAAATAGCGCCTAGATAAAAATGGAATGATGTATTCCGAGAATTGAAAATAAAAAAATCTTGTAATTTCATCAAACCACAGCAAAGAACGATGTTTTTGTTCGTTTTTCGTCGGAAATCTAAATAGGCGTTATGCATTCCCCTTGTCCCGAATATGTCAGTCATCGAAAAATATCTCTAATAACATGTTATTTAGTATTCCTGAATTACTAAACATAAATAATTTGAATAATCTTCGTTCTCCGTTGACTATCATAAAAAATACGTAATGAGAGAATGATGCAACGAATTGGTGCATGACTAAGGCACAGTGGGCAACCAAGTGGACATTAAGTGAAAAATCGAAAGTGCACTTTTGCACGATTCAATTAGTGCTAGATATACTTCGGACTATGGACTACTTAATGCCGTTAAAATTTTTACTACAAAGTTCAAGTAGAGTGGAAAATGAGCTAATTGAAAATAATTAAAAATCAGCCTGAAAATAGCGTCATCTATACAACACACATTTTTTTTTACAAAATCCACTGAAGTGACAACCAAAAACGATACATATTATAAATTTGCATAATGTTCGCTACCGATTTATAATAAAAAAAATGGTCAATTACTATTGAAGATTTAGAAAAAAATTTTGCTTTTTTCCACAGTGCTTTTCCAAACGGCTATATTAGTAAAATGAGCGCGCCCTCCAGCGCCCAATTTGAAACTTATTCAAACTTTGCCAGAATGTTCTCCCATATGTCCTCTCTCACCACAGTTAGCACAAATTAGCACAAATGTTCCTGGACCCCACAGGAGGTTTTCGAAAAAATCATGATTTTTGAGGTATTTCATATTTTTCTCGATTTAGAACTATTTTTATTCATTGAGAACATGATATTTAGAATCAGCGCACAAAACTGCATCGAATGATTATAATCTTCTGGTTTTTCAAATAAAATATTTTTTCACAAAAAATCAGGGCAAGGGTCCCCCTCAAGGATTTTTCGTTAAAAAATTTTTTTTTCAGATTCACTTTATTGTGTACTCAAAAAGTTCATAGACTATAGAATCGGTCAGTGTGTCCGTCCGGCCGTTTACACGATAACTGTCGAAAGGAGAGTCCGATCGTGATGAAATTTTCTACACAGTTTAGTCTTAACAATATCTCGGTCGAGAGAAGAAAATGAGAATGGTTGGCCGAGCCATTGCTGAGTTATTGCAAAAATAGTCATTTTTCCCTATGCGAGGATCGACCTATCTCCGCTTTCGTAAAAAACTTTTCCTATCATAAACAAATAAAAGCCCAACTATTATATACCATTCGATAGAGAATTTCACGAGCTACAAAATGGTATATAAAACATAAGGAAACAAGAAAGTTAACTCACCTATTGCAAAGATAATTAAACGGAAATCGGTTCTGTGTTTGTCCACGCTCTAATTGATCCATAAATAGAGCTGGTTCTTCAGATCACAGAGATGATAGTTCAAGGTTTTCTGAGGTGGAGAACTCGAATCTGTGTTTCATTCGCCTTGAAATTCCATTGGTTGAGCAGTGACCGATAGAAATCAAATTATTGGAAAAACGAGTTTCTTAGGGTAAATGAAGGTGAAGAGTTGAAATCTGAGGTGTATCTGCCTCGAAATCCTATTAATTGAGCAGTAGCCAATAGAAATGAAGTGTTTATAGAAAAGGTTTGCCAGAACAATGTTGATGTCCAGACATTCGTCGGATGACTCATCTGTCTGATTCACTTTTCTTCAGTACACATAAATCTCGGATTTAAATCCGAGGTTTCCGCATTTATTTATGGGTACTTTTTGGCCAACAGTTTTTTCTTTACGTATTTTCATAATAATCTCAACTAAAATTATATCAAAATATAGGTCAAATCACCTTTTTTTCCTAAACAGTTATCACATTTTGTTTTTTGTAAGTCCACTTGGAACAGGAGATTGAGAAATAATGAAATATATGATAATTTTATAGGGAAAAAAGAAAGGTGATTTGAGCTACATATTGATATAATTTGAGTTGAGATTATTATGAAAATATGCAAAGAAAACAGTGTTGATTCAAAAATACCCATAAAAAAAAGATCTTTCATCCTAATGAATTCTATAGAGATCGATGGTCAGAACATCACTCTTTTGAATAGTGAAAATCGCAGGTCTATATCTTGTACTCATCGAAAGTTATTCAAAAAATGATAATCTGACTTCTACTAAGTAAGATGATTCTTCAATAGGATTCACAGTAGTTGAGCTTATATTGAAGCTCCAATCAGATTTCCGTAGATCTATTGAAAATGTAGAATGGTTTGTCCCGATGTGTCTGTGACACTGAGTGATGACCACTTTACTAGATAAAAGAAAATATTTGTTTATTTGTTAATCATCAAAAATATATTTATTTCCAGGTGGTAAAACTTGTGGATTAAGAAAACGTCTATGATGTGTTTTTTCTAATTGATCAATTTGATTCATTTCATTATCTGATAAATAAAAATCAAAAACTTGACAATTTTCATAAAGACGCTGTGGTGTAACCGTTTTTGGAATGAGAGTAAGACCATGTTGAAGATGCCATCGAATAATAATTTGTGCTGATGTTCGATTTTTCGATTTAGCTATTTTTTCAATAATTGGATTATATAATGGTGATGTTTCTTCTTCACGTTCATTTGGTCGTTTTAAATTTGCTAATGGACAATAACTTGTTAAAATAATATTGACTTTTTTTGCATATAAACGTAATTCTTGTTGATTTAAATATGGATGAAGTTCAATTTGATTAACAACTGGTTTAATCCGAGCTATATTAATAATTTCATCTATTTCTGATTGTTTAAAATTTGATAAACCTATTGAACGTACTAATTTAAAATCAACTAAATTTTCCATTGCTTTCCATGTATCAGTTATAGTTACGCCTTCAGCATAATAACGAATTGTTTTATCTTGATTTTGTGACCATTGATTTTCCTTGATATTTTTAAATGCAACAGGCCAATGTATTAGATAAAGATCAATATAATCTAATTGAAAGTTTTTTAAACTATCACGAATAGCCCATTCAACATCTTCAGGTTGATGATGCTTAAAAGAAAAAAAATATTTATTCAATTAGAAATAAAAAATTTCTTATAATTACTTGATTCCATAATTTAGTTGTAATGAATAAATCTTCACGTTTGATTTTTCCTTGACTTTGTTCTAAAGCTTTACGTATACCATTTCCAACTTCATTTTCATTTTTATATAACCATGCACAATCAATATGACGATAACCGCAATTTAATATAGCTTCAAAAACAATATTTTCGACTTTTCCTGGTTCACTTCGCCATGTACCAAGACCTTTATTAAAAAATATTTAATATTTATATTTTATTTTAAATTTTACCCAATCGTGGCATTTGATTTTTATCAGAAAGAATTACACGTGAATCCATGGTTAATATTTCATCTTCATCTATCGACATGTTTACAAACAAATATTTATCTTAAATATAAAGAGAAATAATTAAAAACATAATCGATATTCAATCATATAAAAAAACAAAACAAAACTTAATTCACTCACAACTCGTTGAATAAAAACAAAAGTAAATATTTTAAATATTTTAATTTTTATTCGTAACTCTCTCTTCATCACTATTTTCACACTTTTGTTTACTTACCATATTTGTGTCTCTCTTCTACAGTGTTTTATGTCTTACAATTTCCACTTCGATGCACATTTTTCTTCTCACCATATAAACCTGTATGTCAACCAAACATCCAATTATTCTATTTGCAAAAAGAAAAAAAATGTCAATAAATTTGTTTACAGTGAATAAATTTCTATAATTTTTAAATTTATCTTGAAAGATCGATTTCCATAAAAAAAACCTAATAAAACTTTTCATCGCTTTTAGTTTTATGAGAATCTATGACTACAGCCTCTGATATTCAACTTGAGCGTCATCTGCCGACAAAAATCTTCCAGTAAATGCTATTTCACATGTTCGTTTTAGAGGATATTTTAATAATAAAAATAAATGATGAATAGACACATTGAAACCTATTATTTTTTTGTTCACAAAGCGACATTAAAATTCTTAGTATTTTATTCTAATATATACTTTTTTAAAACAAAAAAGATAAGAAAATCTTTAATTAACTTCATTGATATGAAAAAGTTTTCGTAATATCTAATTGGAATATCTTTCACAATCAATATAAATCGGTTAATCCTCAATAGGCACTAACTAACCATATACTACCTATCTCCAGTCTATTTTTCCTAGACAAATCTTCGGGAAATCCCTAGAGATTCATCAGGGACTCCCAAAAAACTATTCTCCAGAATTTTTTTTTGTCATTTTTTTCTTGAGTTCTTAGCACTCCTGATAAGAGTTCCATCACAAATTTTCTTTTTTTTTACTCCCCAAGGATTATGTCGGGAGAAATGGCCGTTAGTGACTTGTCCAGGTCTATTTCATGCCTTATAGTATTGAGAGTTATACGATGTATCTTGTAGATAGGTGTCAAACAAAGTAGCCTGTTAGCCACAAGGACTCAGGTATATATGAATAGTTGTTGTATAAAAATGAAGGGATGTTTTTAGAATATTTCGATATAATAAAAGAGATAATTGTTCTTTGTAAGATTATTATTTTAGTCTGTAGGATTTATATGTGTATATAGATTTTGTTGAATAGAACTTGTCATTGACATATTAGAATCATAAATTTGACAAATATTTGAATAATTAAGATGAAGATAATTCTCTCTCAAGAAATTAATTTATTCTATTGAAAATTCTTGTAAAATTTAACATAATGAGCTTCGTTTCTCGGTACCTTATCTTGTATTTTGTGTTATTTCATTGAATATCTTAAATTGAGATGTAGTGATCGATCAATATGATTTGTTTTTACCTCTTTAACAGATTGAAATATCCTTACTAACATCTATAGAAATTCATCTTTCCCTGTATTCAACGGATTTATTTGACAATCAGTAGATGATTTTTCGTCATTTTTATTCATATAAAATATTCAATATAATAGTCTATGAGTATTAGAGAATCTCTATTAAATTCTAAAGAAAAAAATCTCGAATAAAATATATTTTTTATTTATAAATGGATAATAATTAAAATAAGTAATGAATAATAAATATATTAAGTTAAATATATAAAATAATTATTTCGAATTAAAATAAGTTTATTATTTTAATAAATAAGATCAGAAGATTTTTTTCATATTCTTGATTTAAGAGAAGATTTTTCTTTAAAATCTTTTTTAATTGATGGATTTCGATTTTTAATAAATGATTGAACAAATTGTCCAAATGATGATGATTTAATCCATTGACGAAATCTTTTTAATGATTGATAATGATCATTTGTTGTTGTTGTTGTTGTTGTTGTTGTTGGATTTGATGATAATGAAAATAATAAATTAGGTGCTGATATTGATCGATCATTTCTATTAATTAATTGAATAGTTTGAACAGGACGATGAACTTTTTTTGGTTGATGATGATGTATTAAACGATGAAGAAATTTCTTTCTTGAATCAGATTTATTTATCGTATTTGATGATTTATTAAATATTCTAAGTGAATTTGATGGAATTTCTGATCGAAATGGATATGCTTCTCTATTATTATTTTCTTCATTATTAACATATTTATTTGGAAGAACAATAACAAGATCTTCATTATTTATAGATGTTCTAACATCAAAACTCTAATAAAAATAAAAATAAAAAAAGAATAAAATAATTAAAAAATTCTTACTGAATGATTATCTTTATTAATATAATCATATTCTAATTGATCAAAAACTGATGCAAATGTTATTGATCTATTTGATATAGATTTTGATAATTCGGATTTTGTTAATATTGATTGAGAATATAAAAATGATTTATCTTTTTCAATTTTCATATTTTTATTTTTTCTTTTTAAAATATTTGTTTGTCGATTCGATGAAAATAAATTAAATATTGATAAATTCATTCGTTTTAATTTTCGATCTTCATCTTTATTATTCAAATTATCAATCATAGAAAAACCATTAGTTAACTTCGACGAATCTTCACGTATATTAGTTAATGTCATTTATTACAAATTGACGACGTTTTCTACTAAAACAATTTTTGAAATTTTTTTTCTTTTACTGAGTGGATTAAGATTTTAAAATGGATATATATATATTTCCGTTGAGTAAAAAAAGGAAGAAAAAACATAGGTATGATCTATTAATCTGTAACCTTTATAAAAGTTATTTTTATCTTGATTGATTAGTATTCATAAGTAAAAGACATTTTATTAACCTAAGATAAAGATTATTTTAAAATCCACATTATATAACAATTGATTATCTTACTTTAAATTCATATTTGAAATTGAGAAAAACGATAAACTAAAAAGAAGAATGATTATTCTTTGTAGAACAATCCTTCTATATCTGATATATTAAATAGTTAAAATAGTGAGAATTATTTCATATGATAAGATTATTCTTTTTTAGTTGAATAACTAAAATGATATTTGAAAAAAGAAAACGAATTATTTCCTATATAATTTATTCTTTTATTAAATGACATCTGTAAATTTCAAATGAAAATAGTAAAGTACCTAATAGAATATCATATTCATTTTCATCAATCGTCTTAATTCTTTTTCGTTCGTTTTTTTTTTATTATTTACTTAACGATTAAGCACGATGACAACAATGCATAAAACATGCATACTAAAATATATACCGGTAGAATTGATAAGAAGTTGTCAATAGTTGACTAATATATCCATCACCTTTATTCTCAATGATTATCTAATCTCAACAGATTTAACCTTAAACTTACTTTTAATTAATTATTTGATTAATATGTTTATATAATTTATTTATTATTTTCAATATATTTATTCAATAAAATTGAATGATTATTATTTTATTTCAATAGTTCTATATCAATTATTTTATTTATATTTACACGATGAAATAAAATCTTTATTCTATTTTGTTTTCTTCTATGTTAGAAAGTTCGATAAGAAATTTCTATGGATAATAATATAGATCTGTGGAGAAAAGTCTTTTCCCCCGTTCCAAAGAAAAACGAGCTATGAGGGAAGGGAGAAAGACTTTTCCCAAAAATATATTTATAACAAATAAATCTTCATTAACTAAAGGCAAACATTTTTTTTGTTTTTAATTCAATTCAATATTTATGTTAACATAAAACAAAGTTTTTTTCTTCTATATTTTAGTTGAGGTTTTTGTTAAAGATAAGTTATTAGACGATATACGAAATTTATTGATCAATTTATAAATGAATTAAACAATGATTTTTTAAAATGTAAATTGAATAATATGTTTAAAAGTAATTGATAATTCTATCAATCGGTATAATTGAGTGAATAGGTTGTTCGAGACGTCTCCACCCATAAACCAGTTTCCTCAAACGTCAATATCACAACCTATGGAACGACCTTGAACCAATCACAAACAGTTATTTTCGATCACCTGTATAATAATATGATGGGTACAGTGTCATATAGGGTTAGTCTTGTCGTTAGTGAGTGTCTATGAGAATTTGAATAAATTTGTTTAGTGAGAATTGTAATATATCCTGGGAATCAACTATGAAAATAAGCTGAAAACATAATAAAGTACATAGATTTTTTTTTCGAAATAGAGTTAAACGAAAAAATATATAATATGTTCGTATTTTATTGAATTCTATCGAATTAAAATAAAGAAGATTCTTTTCTTATTGTTGATTAATAATTTAATAGTTTTTATTTGTTTTTGTCTTTATCGAAAATTTTGTCATAAAAAAGGTTATTCAATAAAATAGATCACCTTTAATAATTCCGTCATTGAAAATAGTCCGATATTTTTTTGTTTTTGTTTTTTATGTGATCATTCAAGCATAGATAGTTATGTCAACCCCTCAACCAAATCAAAGGTGTCACTGTAGAAAGTTAACAAATCGTATATATATATAAAGTGTATTTTATAAAAATACTCATATAAACATCATGTGTCGAGAACGAACAGTAAATGAGTTAATAGAATATTTGTGTGTGTTTTTATTTGTTTTATTTAGATTGATGATAGAAATGTTGATAATACAGTTGATGAAGAAAATAACGAATTAATTCAACAAATTCGTAAGTTAAATAAATAAATTATATTTGATTGATCCTTTTTTATTTCTAATAATAAAGATAATGAATTAAATGAATTATTATTAACAACAATTAATTTACAAGAAGAAAGTAAAAGACTTGAAAATGAAGCAAAAAATTTAATTTATGAAAATATTCAAATGCAAATTGAAGCTCGATTATTAAAAGATAAATATTATTATCGAAGACGATATTCTTTTTTAAAACGTAAAAAATCATTTAATTTTAAACAATTAAAAAAACAAATTAAAATTCAAAGAAAAAATTTTTTTAAATTTGAACGTCGTTTATGTGCCAAATATGAACAACCATTATATAATATTATATCAAATTCAAAAAATAATTTCGAACAACAACAACAACAAAGACAATTTCGACGTATACGATCAATATCAACTGAATCTATTGATTAGAATATTTTTATTTTTTATCATATTCAACTGGAGTTTACAAATAATATATATCATTATTATTTTAAAACTATTTCATTTAAATAAAAACAATTTTTTATTTTAACTTTATTTGAGTTAACCATTTTGACAGATTCTTTTATTTTACTTTTATTTTTAATAAACTATTTCATTTAAAATTTTATATATACCCCTGGAAAGAAAAAGTTAGACACTATATTTAACCTCTTTTTACACTCGAAAAGAATATTTCGAAAAAAGTAATTATACCATTCGATAGCGCTTGAAATTCTCTACCAGTCTGTGTACTATAGAAACAGATTTTGTTTTTAAAGTAATTATATATTCTGATAGAGCTTGAAATTCTCTATCATCCGATATATTTATATGTTGCTTTGCATATATCTGTTGAAAAATAATTTTAATATAATAAAGACATCTTCAATTGACAAGTATTAAAAAATCCGCATTGTTTCCTATTTTTTTAGTATTTTTACCAAATTATTTTTCATATAGAATAAATTTTCACAAAAGTAATTATACATTCTGATAGCTCTTGAAATTCTCTATCAGCCTATATAAAAGTATTTTGCCTTCAATATAAGTAGCAAAAAAAATGAGTGTGTCTTCGAAATTGTCAATTGAAATTTCTTCATTGTATTGAAATAATTTTTTAAGAGACAAATGCAAAGCAATACATAAACAGATGGGATGATAGAGAATTTCAAGCTCTATCAGAATATATAATAACTTTTTTAAAAAGATAATTTTATAGTGATAAAAAATGAAAAAAAACTATTTTCTATGCCAGTGACAAAATCCAGTCTGTGAGAATGTGGACATGGAGGTGCCTTCATTATACTCAATTTATTTTCATAATGTTCAAGCGCAAACTAAAATACAAATACACAAACTGGTAGAGAATTTCAAGCGCTATCAAATGGTATAATTACTTTTTTTGAAATGTTCTTTTCGAGTGTAAAAAGAGGTGAAACATAGTGTCTAACTTTTGCTTTCCAGGGGTATATATTTTCCAGGGGTATATATATTAAAACTATTTCATGTTTAAAAATAGATTTTCAATAAATAAATATTCTTATTTATGCTGGTTAAATCTAATAATCCTATTAATTCATTTTCAAGTGGTTACATTTTTAGAACGACTATTATATTTATTATATTAAAAAAACATCTCTTTATATCAATTAATCGATTATAAACAATTGTTTGATAATAATAAAATTTAATAGGATTTTACAAGATATTCATAGAAAAAAACTATAATACATTGACTAATTAATCTAGAAATAGGTCCGATTTAAACTGTTTTCTTGTTAAAAATTTAAAAATAATTCTTATTGATTAGATTAAAAGCTAAACATTAAATAATGAAGAATTATTTTGATTTATTTCTATAGTTATATATAAATAATTAAGATTAATTTAAATCTATGAACCAATGAAAATATTTAAACTTATTTTAAAGTAAAATTGAAATAAAAATAAAAGAATATTTTTCTAATGACGATCAATCAATAAATAAATGATTATTGATCATTTTATTAAAAATGTTTTCTAAAAAAAATTCAATTTGCTTAACATTTTTAATTTATTATTTATATATGAAGATTGATCAATAAATATTTAATCAATATAAATATTTAATCATCTATGACTAAGACACAACAGAATATTCAATATCATATTAATCTTTACTTTTTTTCTTATTATATCAACATTAATTATTTAGTATTTTTTATCTTTCAACGAATTGTTACCTTATGAAAAGTATATCTATCTTACAATTATAGATTTTAAAAACTAAACAAAATACGAGTTATATATAAGAAAGAAGATCTTATTTCAAGATAAAATATTAAATATTAAATAAAACACTTTTCATCAATATAAGAGAGTTGACAATCGTTCCAGACGTCGATCCGATTCGAATCGAAGTCTCTATAGAAATAAAAGTTAATATCTATTTTTCAATTAACTTTAAATCTTAATATAGAATATTCATAGTCAACTATTAATACTTTCTTTCCTCTTTTTTAATTTAAATATCTTTTTAATAAATAAAGGTTAAACTGTGCCATACGCCTATAAGGTATTGATCTTTCGATCTTTTATATTTAAATCTGAATTTGTATTTTATTTTATTTGGAAAAGAAAACTACAGTTAAATTTATTTGAAAATTCTATTATATGTATAGAAATATAAATCATTTCAGATTCAACAAATTAATTTTCACTTTTCAAATATTGATATTTCGACTCTAGTTTTTTTTCTATTCTACTCGATTGATATTAATTGAATATGTCTTGATCAAATACTTAAATAAACTAATAAAAAGTCCATATCAATTTTGAAAGAATTCTCATACGATAATTAATAGAATTAATTAAGAATAAAAACAAAAATATCTTTATTTTATTTTATTTTATTTTTGCTCGATATAAATAAATGAAATATATTATTGAATAGATAATAATTAATTAATATTATTTATTACAAAAGTCCGATTGACAACAATCAATTGAAATAAGTTCACTTGAATATGGTCGACATTGTGATGAAGCACCTCGATTAATTGTTTTTTGACCTTCACTATTTATTCCTGTTTTAATTATTGTTTTCTAAATAAATTCAAATAAATATTAATATTAAATAAAATAAAATAAAATAAATATAATATATTCTACAATGCATTGATCTTCATCTTTAGTTGTTTGAATTATATTTTCATTTGTTAATATTGAATCACCACAATCTGAACAAGAATAACATTGAATTATTCCACATTCAATTTTCATATCTATTTTAGATTTATTAACAATATATATATTAATTCATATTAAATATTTTAACTTACTATTTAATAAAATAATAGTGAAGACAAGTAATAGACTTCCTTTTATCAACATTATTACAAATGAAATATATTTATTGGTGAACAACAAAATATAATCAATCAATCTTTATTGACTATTGAGGAGGCGGCACTATTTTAAAGAAAAAACGAAACATAAAAGACAATCATTTTAACTAATAGAAGAAATAAAGAATATTTGTTGCCACCTCTTTCAAACAAGAAAAATATTTATTCACCTTGAATATATCATTCGTAGAGAATCGATCAAAGTGAAAACATTCAAAGAATATAACATTAAAATATATCATGCAACTACGATTATTATTATTTGGAATATTTATTCTATACAGTAACTCTTTTTTTCACATTTATACAAATTTATTTTCAATTAATCTATTCACTAATTCAATTATTAACTATTTTGCGAACTTTATTTGCACGACCGATAGGATCATCACAATAGATTGATGCTCGGAGAAAATCGAATGACACAATAGAAAAGAGAAGCATCTGTAAATAAAATCAATACTTTTTCGTAAGATTCAGAAGAAACATGAAAATCTAGACACATATTCGGATAAGACTGTTCCACGACACCTACATTTACATTTGATCTTGAGTCTGGTAGACTTAGATTCAGTAGTTTTTGCCAAAACCATCATACCGAGAATAAAAATTTCGAAAAACTCTTCATGGATTCGAATTCCTCGACTTCGATTACCTTTGGTAAAAGTTTATAAGGAATGTATAAGTAGCAAGTATGTGTGGACATGACAAAGCACGTGATTGTAAACATACACACAAACTTATTTTGTTTCATATGATCCTTCCTTTAGTCGAGGGAATAAAACAAGAAAATAAGAGGAAGATTTTCACAATTGATTTCTAATTTGAAAGGAAACTCGTCAGCAGCCGATTCTAGACGACAGTTTATTATAATTAACTGGCATCTTAGAAGATCTTTCTAACGAACCCATCAAAGTTGATATAATCAACATTTTTTTTTTCTTACAGTGGCGGAGTGAGGAGAAGGTCAGCCTTTCCTAGCGAAGTTTTTGAAAGATGGGTTGGGGGCTTGACCCCTACCTTTGGACTTTTGAGTCCACCTAACGAGATTTGAGAAGTATCTAGTATATTATCAAGGAGGTTCCACCAATGGTTTCCTACTGAACCAATTTTATTTTCATCTAAGAATATATTTTTGACGAATTCATATTAAAATTGCAAATTTATTGTGTTGCTTTTTTTTCTGTGCCGATTTCATTTATAAATATAAATAATATACAAGTCGAAAGAGAAGAAAATCTCTTTGTGACTAATTAAAAAATTTATTTATTGAAAATATCAAAGGATCAATATAGTGCACCGGTTTTTTGACGAGAATTATGCATTTTTTTTTGTAAAGGATACTTCTCTTTTGTCTTGTACTGTTTCGTTGTTGAACGTGTTATACAACAAAGGACCCTATTAGATAAGATGACTTATCTAGAATTGAGAAACCAAATATACCATCTTGTATAGAATTTCAAGGTGCATTCAATGGTATATAATAAGTCTATTTTCTAGAAAGTTTAAGAAGAGTTATGAATAATTTACTGATGGAGGCGGTAGTGTTTAAAATAGTGATAAATAGCTGATCAGTATAGTACCTATAAGTCAGTCGAAGGACATCTTTAAAAATATTTCTTATATACAGTTGTGCAGGGTTTTTGACCGGCTACAAGTTTATATATTTAATTATATAATATTCAGAAGAAAAAAAAAATATAGTTTCTTATCAATTTGACATTGATTTTGATCAAAAGTGATAATTATAGGTTCACTGTAATGAATAATATTAATCTCAGGAGAAGCAACCATTCGTCAGACTTTGTCAGAAACTGCGCCTGAGATAGGACTACAAAATACATTATTTGATCGTTCTCCAACGTTTGTGGTAGATGCCTAAAATAGCCTTGCATTGAGGAATGGTCAACAATTTTGACATAAATTTTCCTCTATTGAGACAATATTTCAATATTTTGACTATCGAGAGTCCATTCTGATGCGAAATAAACATGATATTCGAAATCAACAAAAAATACTGCTTCAAATAGTTTATATTTTAAATAAATATTTTTTCTGCCAAAATTTAGAAAAAATGTCTGAGGGGGAGTACAGCTCAAATTTTGACGGAAAAAATATTTATTTAAAATATAAACTATTCGATGCAGTTTTTTATGCTAATTAAGAATATCATGTTTATTTCACATAATAACCGACTTTTTATAGTCAATATGTCGAAATACAGTGTTAAACGATAAAAATTCATGCAAAAATTGGTTAAGACTTCTCAATGCAAGCCAATTTTAGGCATCACGTACAAATTTTAAAAAACTTTCAAATAGTATGTTTTATAGTGCTACATCGTGGACAATTTCTGAGAAAGTTTGGTATCTGGTCACCTCTTTTATAGTCGACACCATTCAATAAATGGAACCCATCATTAGCAAAAAACGGTGATAAAAGTTTGAAAAATGACATTTTTCTCTATCAAAGATAGAATAATCAGAAATGTTAAGTATATGAGCTTGTAGCTCATCAAAAACTCTACAAAACTGTATATAAGAAAAATTTTTTACAAATACTTTCGACTGATATCAACGACCACAATGATCATACTTTGGATGCATAGTCGTCTATCAGTAAATTGACTCTAGTTCCATGAAAATGTTATGAAAATCAAATTTATTATATACGATTTGACGCACCTCAACTTGTGGTAGAAAAGTGTATACTTGGTTTCTCAATTCTAAATAGATCAGGTTATCCGACAGGTTCCTTTCTAATAAAATAATTATTGTTTAGGTATTGATATGGTTAATTCGATAATATGTTATCAATGTACAGATTGTCCTCAACCATTTACTGAAAATTATCCTTATGTTACAATAACTAATAATACAAATTTTCTTGCAAAATGCACTGTAAGTTTTTTCTTTTTTTTTTTTATTATTTGAAATATAGATAAGAAATTTTTTGACTTATTATTTGTTGTGATTTGTAGACAACAGTCGTGAATTTAGGCGATGGTCGTCGTTTAGTATTAAAAGGTTCAGTATTTTTTTGTCCAGTTCAAACAAGCCAAACGGATGTAACAATCTATTGTTGTGATCGAGATTATTGTAATTCAACAAATTATATTGCTCCATCAATTCTTTTATTCTTATTTATTTTTTCTAAGAATATATTTATCAATATACAATATTAATGACAAATATTATATCGATTTTGTTTTGTTCTCATTTGATAATTGTTCACGAAGTTTCTAAATAAAAAAAAAAAAACAAACAATAATAACTTATTTTTCTTTTCTCTTTAAATTAAAATAAAAACAGGAAAGAATTCTTACATGAATTTCTGCTTGTTGTTTAGCTATTACTGTTCGATAATCATCTTTTATATTAACTTGTTTACGTAACATTCGAGTTTCTTCATCATGTAATATTCGTTCATTACATTTAAGTCTAAAAAACAAAGATCAATATTAACAATAAATATTTTTTATTAAACACAATCGAAAACAAGTTTTGAAGTACGTTAGGTAGAAATTTCTACTCTCTTACCTCCGCAGACTTTGGCAGGCGTTGGTCATACTTTTCTTTTAGAATCTTCCTGCCTTTCGACTATCTTCAAATAAAGGACACCGCCTAGGGACAGATTTAGTAGTCCAATATGTTCCCTACATCTGTGATTAGGTTTACCTTTCGACAGAAGGTCGGTCTGACATAGAGTTCTTGCGCTCAACTGCTTCATCTTTCTCTACACATTAACTAACCACAAGTAGGGATGCAACGGTGACGATCATTCAACGGTCCAAACCAACAATCTTAGCTACAGTTATCATCACCGTTGCATCCTTAACCACAAGAGCAGATCTCATGTGACAGCGCAGTCATCATGCTATAGGACGAGCCACCTGGTGAATAGGTGTCAAAAAACGCAACCACTCGGCCGTAGCGATATCCATTGTTGATATATGATCACAAGTCGTAATATATGCCTTAGCAACGACTCTTCCTTTCTTCTGTCGCATTACAGACCATGGTAAACATCTTAGCAATACTCCGTGACTCGTGCATGAGAGATAGTACATGAATAACGTTTCGTTATAGAAAATATAAATTATTTTCTAATTGTATTTGTGAGGAATTAAGTAAAACGATGGTGAATGTATCTGAAAATAATCTCTCTGTAATAATGAAGAAGAATAATATTGTATTGGATATATTAATCCTCGGAAGGATTTCTGTAAGAGATCGAGTTTTTAAAAAAAGATTTAATTACTTGAGTAATTGAACATCTTTTTTTAGTTGTTCATTTTGATAACGAAGATCATTGATTTGTTTAACATCATTAACTAATGATTGATTGATAACATTGGTTGAATCAATTGTTGATAAAATTAATTCAACTTCCTATTAATAATAAAATAGAAAAAAAAAAACGATTAATTTAAAAAATATTTTAAAAGAAAAAAACACTTAACAATAATACGTTTTTGTAATTGTTCAATCGTTTGACTTTTTTCATTTAATTGATTCGAATTATTTTGATTTATACTAAATTATAGAATATATTACAACAACAACAATAACAAGAAAATTTCAAAATAAAAAAGAAAAACCTATTTAATTTATCTTGATCAAATTGAATTAATTTTAATTTATTCTGATAATCAACTAATTGATGTTTTAAATCATTTATAGTTTGTTCAAGTTGAGTTATTTCTTTTCTATGTAAATTTTTACACTAAATATTAAGAAAAATAATTTAAATAAAATCTAATTTAATTAAATTAACTTGTTCTAATTGAAGTTTTAATTGAAGTTTATCATTTTCTAATGTTTTTATTTGCTGTTCATAAATTGAAATTGGTGTTATTTTATCATTTGAATTAATTGTTTGTTGTTTTGTTTTATCTAATAAATCTTCTAATTGATAAATTTTTATTCTTGATTCGTTAAGAGAACGTTCTAATAACTAGAAATAATAACAAGAATCTAATTAAAAATTGAATTAAATAAATGTTTAACTTGATTTTGATTAATTAGATCTTTTATAGAAAATATCGATTCAGTACGTATTCGTTTAATAGTTGCTTCCATTGTTTCATTGGAGGAAATTGATCGTTTTAGTTGACCTTCTAAAATAGATCGATCAATAGAAGATAACGATTTTGATAAGTCAACATTTGAATATGAACAAGAAGAACATAAATATGATTCTGTTGGTAAAAATCCTATGAAAATAAATATTCATTTTAGATTTAATTCATTAACAAATTCCCACCTGATTTATCAGCATTTAAAATTTTGTTAATAGTTGTTGTTGTTTTTTTTTCTATTGTTGATAAAGTTTGATTATCTGTTAAAGATGAATTAGATGATGAATAATTAGTCCTTCTCCAACCTATTGGATGATAAAGTCCAGTTATTGATGAACGTCTTAATGAACTCATCTAACAAATTAAATATTTTATATTTATATTATTTCATAGATTTTAAAAAGAGAAATTTATTTATTTAAATCAAATATAACCATTAAAACAAAAATCCACACAAATATTAATCATATATGTATATTCATTTATTAAGAGAGTAGAAAAATAAAAAGATATTATTATTAAAACATATGCACATTTTCACTCATTGCAAACAATTAAAAAAAAGTTCATATATATATATACAAAAACAAAAAGAAGTTCTACCTAACCTAATATTCACTTTTTATCTAAAGAGATTATTTTCAATATATATTTATATATAAAGGATATAATCCATTTGGAAAAAGATCTATCCATCCGATTTCCTTGTGGATAAGATCCTTCTCACCAATCGGAATCTTTATCACACAAGCTACAATTTTTACCATAATCTGTCACGCATTTAGTATAAACCATACTAATAATATATGTATGTAAACAAAACATAAAAATTGATTTTAAAATATAGGTAAAATCCTACTAGGATTTGGTTTTTCATGTAAAGAATAAATATCTCCTATAATATTCGATTTGAAAATAATTTGGTGATTTATTCATTATTTCAAACAAATAAAATCTCGAGAAATATTCAAATTTTTTTTCCTTTAATAAAATGATAATTTCTATATTCTATTCCCTGAATATTAATCGAAATATTTTATAAAATATATTGAATTTAAATGTAAAATCATTAAATAATCCTATTAGTATATTTTATTCCCTGTGGAATGTCATTTATATGGATATAGATATTTTAGGATTTATATTTAAAAGTAACAGAAGAAGAAGAAGAAAATGAAAAAAAGGACGAGAAATAAAATCATAGTCAAATATGACCATTTACTATTTCGATTGAGATCGAATAAGTATAGAAAGATAAAAAAAGAAAAAGAAAAAGAAAAAGAAAAAGGTTTTTTCTTTTTTGTTGTTTTAGATAAAAATTGTGGTAAGAATGATGAATAAGAAAAAATGATATTGAAAAATTGTTGATGAAGCTCTACTAGTTGTAAAACGAATACGTTTACAACCAACATTATTACGATGTGTTATAAATTGTTGACAATCAGGTGTTTCTATAATAAATGAATTAAAAAAGAAAAAAAAAACTTTCTAATAAAATCTCATACCAAATATAAAAACTGAAGCTAAAGCTGTTCGATAAGGTTTTTCATTTGTTGTTGCATTAATAACATATGAACCCAAATCACTAGCTAAGACATTTATAACTGTTAAACGTGATAATATACAATCAGTACATATATTTGGTTCAGGTATTGTTGCTTCAATTTTATATTTATATGAATTCCATATTGGTCGAAGAACATCAACACTCATTGTATTAGATATTTGACCACCATAATCATTTTTATACCTATTCAAACAAATTTTCTTTTTTATTTATTTATTTATTATATTTAAAGAATTTTATTTAAACCATGTTATACGTGGTGGTGGATAACCATGTACATAACATTCAACATATATATCAACTAAAAAATTAATTGCTTGACCAACCATTGGATATGGACATCGAATATATGGTGGAACTAAAACAAATAAACAATTATATATATATGAGTGTTTTTGTTTTTGTTTCTATTGAATATACATTTAACATTAACTTTGAGAGTCCATATATCACCATAACCAACAAGATTTATTGCCAAACATTTATAAATTCCTCGATCTTGTTGTCGAATATCATTTATTGGAAGTTCAACAGTCTAGAAGAAGAGAAAAATAAAGATGAAATTATTAATAAAAAAACTTTACACCAATAGCACGAATATTTCCATCTGGTAATGGAGTAGCATCAGCTTTCATCCATTGAATTTGTGGTGGTGGTAAACCTTGAGCAAAACAAGTTAATAATATATTATCACCTTCATTAACTTCAATATCTTTTGTTGATGATTGAACAACAAATGGTTCACTATATACAATAAGACGTCGTCGAAGAAATATTGAATTATTATAACCAGTATCAGCTAACATACATGTTAAATCTCCATAATCTTCTCGATCTAATGGATCAAATATAAGATACCAATCACTTGAATCAATAGCATGTTCAGCATATAAACGACGAGTTGGTTGACTAAATTGAAATACTTGATCATCTGTTGCTAAATAGAATTTTTTTTGATCATTTAAACGATGTAATTCCCAACTGACCTAATTTAATATAGATAATATTTATTTTTCTTTTATTCAAATTTATTTTTAAATATTTAAATATATTTTCTTTTTTTCGATAATTTACATTTTAAATTCAAACAATTATTTATTATAAAACTATCGAAAATCGAATATTATCTATATTTATCATTCTAATGGGAAAAGATGCATCTTTTAAATGTTTATATCATCAACTAACTTCTTTACACTTTATTTTTATTTTATATAAAACTCAGAAGATTTTTTAAAATAAAATATTAACAATCAGATATTTGGATTAGATCAATTTCGGCTCGGGTCCAAATTGACTTGATCAATCCGTTAAAAAACAAGGTATATTTCTATAACTAATCCAAAATAAGGATAAGTATTTTTGGAATAATATTTTATATTAACTAGATAGAGAACTGCACTTTTCATCGTTTAACAGAGGGAATGAAACTACATCGAATTCTTAACATTAGAACTTTCTCAAAACTTTTCTCATGTTCGTTCGCCAAGTTTCTTAAATAGAAAATACAATGTAATGTAAAAGTTTTGGAATTTAAATTAATAGTTGTCTATCACAATTGTTGACTAAAGTTCAATTATCTATAGAACTCCACTGTTAAATCACAAGTTATTTTTATTTTACTGAGTGTTTTCGGCAGATTTTTCATGAAAAATTGAACTGTTTTGCTGATCTTTTAACGAAAAATCTACCTTCTGAATCTATTAAAAATCTCCGATTTAAAAAAAAACTTGTCCAATGATTCTGAGAAAACTTTTGAGAAAGGTCTAGTGTTAGGAATTCGATGTAGTTTCATTTTCTCTTTGAAGCGATGAAAAGCGTAGTTGTCTATCTAGTTTATATCAAATATTATTACAAAAATATTCACCCTTATTTTTATTTGAAATCGATATTCATCTATAGATTCCACGGTGCTGAGTAGAACGACATAGTGGTGAATAGTCGAAGTGTTTTAGTCTTGAGAGATAATTATTACTTCTCTGCAATAAGTAACATTTTAAAACGTAAGTGTTGTATGCTGAACAGGATCGTAGATATATAGTGTCATCTAAAATCACACTGCTACGTACTATCCTCTTCTGTTCAGCATAATGGAAATGTGTTAACTATTCATTGAAGAAAGACTACTTTTTTTGTCAACACCATTGAGATGAATTTCATCCAGAGCCGAACCACCGTCGGAAATTGGAAGTGGGCTGAAAATTCTACTCTCCGAAATATTCCTCTTTATTGACGACAATCTAGTTTTTCGATATATCGAAAAAAATCGTATTGCATACGATAAATTAATTGAAAAAACAACTGATTTGTATGTTTCTATTTGTCTACTAACTGTGTTCCTTGAAATAAACATTAGTTCAAATCGATGAAAATAAAATATGCATCAGTGAGAAATGTACTCTATATCTAACCGAACTGATACTGATGCATAGATTATGAAAATTTATCTTATTTCGAAAGAGAGTCAGGATTTATTTAATGGTACCCTTCTTCCTTTTCGGAGTTCCTGAAGAATGGTTCATCAAAAAATTTTCATGATTTTTCGAGCAGATAGATCTTGATATGTAGAGAAAAATTTTTCATAGATTCAAAGTTCTTGAATGTTATCTTCTGTCAGATATTTGGATCACAGCTGTTTCTCCGAAATACTGTGTTTGATCAAGGTGAAACTTTTTGTTTACAGATACCAGACACTGTTTAGGATAGGGATTTTTTTTGGTTTCTCTTTATCTGTTGTCTTTCGAATAAAAAAATTAAAATATCGAAGTCACCCTAAAAAAACGCATGTTTTTTTTCAATAGTGACTTTCTTTTTGTAACGGCAAAAAAGAAGTCAACAGATTGATATTTTTTGAAAGAAAAATCTCCATCCGAAACAGTGTCTAGTATATCTAAAAAAACAAATTTGACTCGATCGAATTTACTACGGTAGAGAAATGGGGGTGAAACAATACTTTTTTTCTCTTAAAAATTTCATTTGTTTTCTAATTGTTTTATAAATAAAAATACATGAAAATAATCCTACACTTCGTTTATCATTATCTGTAAGTCCAACAAGTGTACATTTAGCTATTAATCGTTCACCGGCTCGTGGTGCAATTGGATCAAAAATAATACCATCTTTGTCACGCATATCAAAACGAGGATTTGTTCTGGCATTAACATATACAACTAGAACAAATATTCATTCATTATTATATTATCAATAATAAAACAAACAAACAAATATGTAAATCTTTTATATTTTATAAGAAAGATAATGAAAATAAAATCGTTTTATTAATAATAATAATAGAATTTGTGAAAGATAACTTTTCTATGATAAAAATCAATTAAAATCTATTGTTTTAATATATATTAAAAAGCAAAATAAAAATCAGTTAACGATGAATCATTGATATGAATAATAAATTCATTTATTGAAAGTAAAGTATCTGATTTTTTTGTTTTCAAAATGAAAAAATCTATTATTGAAAAATATTTGACTTACAAAAAAAATTGATAAAAAATCCTAATAAAGACAATCGAATAATTGATATAATCATAATTTGCACGTGTTTATATCGTAGGAAATAAATTCAGTGGATTGATTTCAATTTGGTTCGAACAAAAAAAAATGTTGTGCCGATCGAAACACGATTGACACAATCACGTAGTTTTTTTTTCTTGTTCTCTGTTCGGTGTTTTTTTTTTTTCTTATATAATAGTCTCGTTTGTGCACATATACCTTGGAACATAAATCAGATGAAGGTCTTATTCAACCTTTTCTTTTCTTTCTTTCTTTCTCC